CCAAATTGGATCTAGACGATGCACACTTTTATGTGCACGCTATACAATTTGATCCGTTTAACCTATCTATTTTGTCTAGAAAATTTGCATGAAACTCAGATTTTCATGTATAATAAAAAGTTGTTATTCAACAACTACTGACATGAAACAATATTCAATGATCAAGCCACCCCATTCTTAACTTCAGTAGTAATTGTTCTAGCTCCTCTTCCCAATCTGGTTTATATGCCTCCACTAAGCATTAATTACAGCAAACAGGATAAAGAGTTTTTTTTTTTTTTTTTGGATAAAAAGCAAGTTTTATTAACAGATTGCTGGAAATTATCCAGCACAAATTTGATTTACATCGCTACCCTAGTGATAGATTAAATATGCACTACAAATAATAGATCTGCAAAATTTAACAGGTACGATAGATATGCAAAATTTTTTAACAAATCTGAAAAATACAAGAAATACGTAGAGTTTCATGTAAAACAAAATAATATTTCTGCTTTGCATTTAAGACCATATTTCCAGTGAAATAAGCCACTTTTCCAAGTGCATTAACACATTAGGGCGGCTTGCAAGACCTAATTTTGCCAAGTCATTCTCATCAAGGACATAGATAATGTTTTAAAATTCAAAATTTAACACATGGACATGGAAGTGACGTGCTCCACAAAGGCACAAACTAGCCATCCAAGAACAATTTGTTGTTTTTCCCATATTTCCACAGAGTGATTGACCTGCAATGCAGTAGACTTGTCAAGCCATCAAGACTTTAGATATCTACTTTTACTTTTCTATGCTTCTTCCTTCACTCCCTCTCTATAAAACGGGCGTTAACTTTGTAGTTCAGCAAGTAACATTAAGTAGTAACCAAATATTGCTCGTTTCATTATCCATGGCTGGTGCAGAACCAGAATTCAAGGCCACTATGCTTCTCCTCAGCCTGCTTTTAGTTGCAACGCTTGATTTTACAGGTTTTCCTCTTCGGCCTGAAGTGCAATGCACTGTAGCTCTTCTCAATATATATAATATACAACAAGTTTTCAGAATTATAGAACTCCCAGGCCATCTTCTGTTATTTGAGCTTTAAGCCTTTAACTTTGTTAGTTGCATGATGAGTTCAAAAAGTTGCTGCCTGCAACGTACATTAAACTCGAGGTCAAGAATTCAGCTCTCGCCTCAAACATACCATTTGAAAATTTCAACAGAGCATAAATTAGTAGTGAAAATCTTGTTTCCTCGTTCAAGAATAAGGGTTTAAATTCAAATTCGTAATTTGTCGATCACCTATTTGTGCTTCCCCAAATTGAAAATGTTTCCAAGTGACGTACTAGAAAGTCTATAACCCAACCTGGTCAAATTAACATCTTCTAGGACTGCTAAGCCATATTTTGATCAGACAGACATTAAATGACTTTCACTAATCAACAAGTGCTTTTCTTTTTTTTCGAACTCTTTCAAGCAAAAGTTAAAATGTGGAAGTTTTCATTACCAGTTTTATATCCTACAGAATGAATGTGAAGCCTTTTTACATTATCTGCCCTGTTTGGAGAAGGAACTTAATAGGTTTAATCTAATGGTCATGTATATGAAATTTAATGCAGGGGCTCAAACAGGAGTTTGTTATGGAAGGCTTGGAAGTAATCTTCCATCTCCAGCAGATGTTGTCGCCCTGTGCAACCAAAGAAACATCAAAAGAATGCGAATCTATGATCCTCATCAACCCACCCTTCAAGCCCTTGGAGGTTCAAACATTGAAGTCATTCTTGGGGTTCCCAACACCGATCTACAGAATGTTGCTGCAAGCCAAGCTAATGCAAATAATTGGGTTCAAAACAATGTCAGGAAGTATCCCAACGTCAAATTCAGGTACATTGCAGTTGGAAATGAAGTCAGCCCACTAACAGGGACGGCTCAGTACACAAACTTTCTTCTCCCTGCCATCAGAAACATCTTCAACGCAATTTCTGCAGCGGGGCTCAGAAACCAGATCAAAGTTTCCACTGCTATTGAAACTGGACTAGTTGCAAATGGTTATCCTCCATCAGCTGGCACTTTCCAACCTCAAGCTCAAAATTTTATCAAGCCCATCGTTCAGTTCTTAGCTGGCAACGGTGCCCCATTACTCGTTAATGTATATCCATACTTTTCCTACACAGGCAATCCCAAGAGCATAGCTCTTGAATATGCTCTTTTTACATCTTCTGGCATCACCACACCAGATGGTGTAAAGTATCAAAATCTTTTTGATGCTCTCGTGGATGCAACATACTCGGCGCTCGAAAAGGCTGGAGGCTCATCAGTCCAAATTGTTGTATCGGAGACTGGTTGGCCATCAGCTGGAGGACAAGCGACATCAATAGACAATGCCAGGACTTACAACAATAACCTGATCAAGCATGTCAATGGGAATTCTGGAACCCCAAAAAGGCCTGGAAGGGCTATTGAGACTTACATTTTTGATTTGTTTGATGAAGATCAAAAGAGTCCAGAATATGAGAAGCATTTTGGGCTCTTTCTTCCAAATAGGCAGCCAAAGTACCCAATCAGTTTCTAACTAGATTGAGGAATCAACTGTATAACAGGAATAAGGACAGATAGACTCCATCTGTTGCCTCTCCTGCTTTTATCAATTGTCATCTCAAATAAGGGTTGCTCTAATAATTTCTAGCCTTGGCAACGTATGCGTGAATAAACACAAATTTTTTGCTGCTGGAGCAATTAAATGTTGGTAGTTGCTAAAATGTTTTACTACATGTTTAGTTTCTAAACATAGGTTAATTACGAAAAATTAATGCTTGGAATTGGATTAACCTAGACCATCATAACCAAACAAACATCCAGCTACCTAAGTTTTTCTCCTTTTTTTTTTTTGCTTCAGGTTAGAGCTATCAAAATTTAGCAAGCAAATGAGAAAAAAAAATGATTTTGGTTCGTTGTATCAGCAGTCATAATCTAGTTCTGCGTGTTTCAATCAACTTAATTAGTCTACCGTATGTTCAACTAATCTTTCCAGTGCATGGTTTCTCATATTTGTATGTGACATGCAGATTTATCAAGTCAACAAATTAGAACTTAGGATTAATCCATTATTGATAGTAAAAGTGTCAAATAACAAGATCATCATAAAATAAATAAAAAAGAAATCATCATAAAAATAATGTTTAGTTAAATATGAATAGTTAAAATTTAAAAATATACAATTATAGTAGCTTTTTTTTGTTTGTTTGTTTGGTGTCACTTGTAAATATTAAGTATTTGTAAATTCTAATTTGTTTATATTTGTTTAAATAGTAAAGGTACTAGATTATATGCGCCTTTTATTGTGACAGCTGAGTTGACAAGCACATATAGTTTGGAGTTTGGAATCATTTTACTCAGTCTCTCCAATAATTTGTTTTGAGTAAATAGGCAGTCTAAGTCATGCCGCAAGGATCGAACGCCCGCTTCGTGCAACGTTGAAAATTTTTCAGACGGAATGTTTGCAGCAAGAAAGGGGAGAGGCAAATTACTTTTCCATACATTATAGGTCTATGCCACATGACACTTCGTTTTAAAATAATCTATTTTGTTCCCTCTAGTTTCATATAAAGTGAAAATTTGATAGAATATAACAGTTACAATATTGTTAGTTGAAATATCAATATTGTCCTTATTTAAACATTGAATCGGACAATGACCTAACTAATTTGTATAAAACTATAAAGAGATTATAGGAATAAATAGAAAAATCGCAGCGAGTTGAATATTGGATATTATAATTCTGTCTCATGCATTATATTTTTTATCGTATTTATTCAATCACCATAATCGTTGATGTTTTTCATCATTTTTTTACTTTACACATAACTATAGAGGGGTTATATGACTATTTTGAAGGTTTAGGAGAATCATGTTACATTATTCAAAACCACAGCAAGAATTATGTGTAAATTTACCCTTGTTCTTGAAGGCCGTAGAGCACTGCTAAATAAAAAGTCCAAGCAACAAGACTTAGCTAATCTGATTATGATACCGAAACAAACCAAGAACAACTATTGGAACTTGTAAACTTGAGTTTAGTATTCAGACGTGATGTTCCATGCCATCCCAGACCCTCAAAACTGAAGTAGTCAAAGATGGAGTACCTAAATATCCAATATAGTGATGTTGACTGCTGAGTTTAGTATTTCCTGTACGTAAAATTAGTCTTGTACATTGAACTGACATGAGAATACTGAATTCAACTTTCACCAAAAAAAACTTTTCAAAAAATTTGTCTGCTATAAGCTTTTTTTTTAACAATTTTAGCTACAATAATTTCTCAAAATTTTTAAACGATACACTTCAAAATATTCAAAAATTTATACATTTCAAAAATTTTTCCTACATCTTCTACAGTAAGTTAAAGTAAAATTTTAGACAAACACTCAAAAAACTCATTTGTCAAATGGGCCTTCATTGCAAAAGCATGATTCCGTTCTCAGTTTGCTTCTTGTTCGTCTGATTTTTGTGTTCCTTGTTTTCGATTTTTACTCATTAGCGAGTTGCATGGTGAAAATATTTTTGATTAGATTGGTGGTCTAACCTTGATTTAGGGGATGATGATTGATGAGGATGACACTACTAAACACAAGCATTTCTTAAATGCACTTTTCTAAGAGGGAAAATTTCTGTGAGTTCTTTTTGGCATTTTAGCTTTAGTTCCAAATGTCAACCGAAAGGACAACTTCACGAGGCTTGATGGAGCAGTATTAGATTATGGATAGCTACTCAGTTCTAGAATATACAAAGTGGCATGGTCAAGACTGAGGACGGCATGCATGTTACCAGATCAAATGGCTCGCAAATAGTAATAATAATAATGTGATCGCAAGTTCGAGTTTAAATACTCAATTGTCCATTTCCACTATATATATATATATATATACTCACTATTATCCAGTCTACTTGATAAAATTTGTGGTGAATTTGCAAGAATGGGTGAGGCAAGTGAGGAGGTAATTCTTCTAGACTTTTGGACTAGCATGTATGGCATGAGGGCAAGAGTTGCACTAGAAGAAAAAGAAATCAAGTACGAGCACAAACAAGAGGATCTAATTGGCAACAAAAGTGAGTTGCTCTTGAGGATGAATCCAATTCACAAGACAATCCCGGTTCTGATTCACGATGGAAAACCCGTTTGTGAATCCCTCATTGCAGTGGAATACATTGACGAGGTGTGGAAAGGTAAAGCTTCACTCTTGCCTTCTGATCCTTATGAGAGAGCTCAAGCCAGGTTTTGGGCTGATTTTCTTGACAAAAAGGTAAGCATGCATCCTATCATTGGCAAAATCTCTTTCAGCTAATTTAAACATTGCCACAAATATCATTCCTGCCATGTTGATGAAATTGAGTCTTAAAATTATATTAATCTTTTCTACGCTGATAGTGTATACATTAGCAAGTATAAATACACATCATACGTCCAGAATTAGGGGATTAAAATTCCAATTGAGATTATTTGTTGTGTGTCCATGTACACACTTGTGGGAAAGATGCCTTAAGATGATGAGATAATGCACTCCAATTTCAGGTTTATGAATACGGTCGTCAAGTCACCTGGTCAAGAAAAGGAGAAGAGCCAGAAGCAGCAAAGATTGGCTTGACAAACTCCATTAAGACGCTGGAGGAGGAAGCCCTTGGAGACAAACTTTATTTTGGGGGTGAAAAGTTCGGGTATCTTGACGTTGTTGTCATTGGACTCTGCAGTTGGCTACACACCTATGAGATTATCTGCAACTTTAATGCGGCGACTGAGTGCCCAAAGCTGGTGGCATGGGCTAAGAGATGCATGGAAAGGGATAGTGTCTCCAAGTCTCTTCCTGAACCCAAGAAGCTCTATGAAGCCATTTTGGGATTTAAGAAGGTTTTTGGACTTGACTAAATGTGAAGAAGAATTAATGGTTTTTGGTACTTTGTCCTGTAACAATAAAAAAGAATATGCTCAATGGACTAATAAAACAATTTCTATTATTTTGAAACATTGGCCAAGGACTAATTAGGTGAAAGAATGTTTTGAATTACTTTATACATCTAACAAGTAGAGGAATCAGCTGTGCAAAACTCGAAAGAGAAAAGAAAAGAGGAAATGAATTCCTTTAATACAGGTTTTCACTAATTTCATAGTTGTAAAATTATACAATCACACTCCCATAGCAAGATAAATCCCCTACAATTTTCATTCCCAATTGAAACATATACAAATAATTATTTTTGTTTTGCCAGTAATAAACAGAGCGTTCACTCTGGACTTATTTGCAACATAAACTACACAAAGGATTATTGGTACTTTTGTTTCTTAGTCAATCCCATGTTTCTTCCTCAACTTCAAAGCATACTCATAAACCTTATGAAAATCAGCAAGGGACTTTGACACACTCACCCTTTTCATGCACCTTTTAGCCCATGCCACGATCTCGGGGCACTCTGTCTCTATGTTGAAATTTCCAAAAATCTCGTAGGCATAAAACCAACTGTAGAAAGGTATTAGAGCTATATCTAAGTACGTACCCAAAGTTTGCACCTCCAAAGTAAGGCTTGTCTCCAAGTTCTCCTTCCAAAATTTTGTAGGTCTCTATGAATTCCATATTAGCTGCCTCCAGATCTTCTCCCTTTGTAGCCCAAGTTTTTCTTCCTACAGTAAAAACCTGCGTCAAACAGTTCAAAATTTAATTTAATAACACCAGCAGTAATAGATGTTAATTGTTTAGAGCATAACATTATCTATTTGGAACGAAAGTGATGGATTGCTATCTTTTGCAGTTTTTGTAGAAAAATGTACTATAATGATTTGATATACGTAAGGTAAAAAGATAATTGAAAAATGTAAAAAAATTTTGGAGAATGACAATCCAAACAAGGTTAAGTCAAACAATAAAAACACAGAAACAAATTAAATCTACACTGAAGCTCACAAAAAATATCTATCAGTGAGGAATAATAAATTGACCTTGGTACCTTTTTATCAACAAAGTCAGCCCAGAACCTGGCTTGAGCTTTCCTGATGGGGTCAGATGGCATGAAAGGATTTTTATCCCGCCATACTTCATCCATGCACTGAAAAATAATTATCGACAGAAAGCCCGGAATTCATAGCATGAATTGCACCTATCATGGATGCAATTTTCTTGTGTTATTACATCAAATAGTTCTTCTGGGAAATTCTCATCTTGATTACACGTCTTCTTCTTGATAACTACTGTTTGATGAATCGACAAAATGTCAATTTTCAAGTCGGAAGTTTATGAAATGCATCTAACTAGTTCCGGTCGAGACGAAATGCTTTCATTTTACATACATCTCTCATCAACAGATACCATGAAACAAGTTTAGAATTTGATCCTAATCGATCTAATAAATCTCTCTCTCTCTCGCTGGAAAAAGGAAGAGACGAAGACTTTGACTTAGAGTCAATGTTATCAAAGGCCAAAGAAATGAGAATATAGTATGTTAGAATTTAATGAGTTGAGAAAATTTCTTTCTGCCATTAAAACTTCAGTGCCGTTACGTCCAATTTGGATATAGTCCATACATAATACATGAAAGTAAAGTTTGCCTAGCTAACTCAATGTTGACCAATTATTGGGTTTGACTGATTCTAGTCTTTCCTCAAAGCCAAGCCATGACTAAAACTACTTTGAATAATCATCCCTTTTGGTTTTGTTCACACCTAATTTTCTGTTACCGTATTCTGTCGGTTTTAGCCGTGTTTCCAGAAGAGTGATTGACCTGCGATGCACTAGACTGACCAAGTCATCAAGATTTTAGATTCTAACTTTTCTATGCATCTTCCTTCATACCCTTTCTGTAAAAGGGGTGCTCAATTTGTAGCTCATCAAGTAGTACTGGAATATTGCTTGTTTCATTATCCATGGCTGGTGAAAAACAACAATTCTGAATTCACGGCCACTATGTTTGTTATTGGGCTGCTGTTACTTGCAACACTTGATTATACAGGTTTTCCTCTCTATCCTGAATTACAATGCAATGTAGCGTCTAAAATCTTGATATGCAGAATGTTTGCAGAATCATAGATCAAAAGTTTTGTAAATGGCATATGAAAAGTCTAAAACTAGACCTGGTGACACTAGCAATTACTAGGGCTGGTAAGCCATACTGTAATCAGATGTCAAATGACTTTCACTAATTGATAAGTAAGTTGTTTCTTTACTTGTTCAGGAAAAAGAGGGGAAGTGTGGAGGTATTCATTACCAGTTCATCCTGCAAAATGAATGTAAAGCTTTGTTACATAATCACACCTGTTTTGCAGAATGAGCTTAATCAGGTCAATGAAATCATTGTGCATATGAAATTTTGATGCAGGGGCTCAAACAGGCGTTTGTTATGGAAGGCTTGGGAGTAATCTTCCATCTCCAGCAGATGTTGTAGCCCTTTGCAAACAGAACAACATCAAAAGAATGCGAATCTACGATCCTGATCACTCCACACTTCAAGCCCTAGCAGGTTCAAATATTGAAGTCATTCTTGGGGTTCCCAACACTGATCTTCAGAATGTTGCTGCAAGCCAAGATAATGCAAATAATTGGGTCAAAAACAATGTAAGGAATTATCCTAATGTCAAATTCAGGTACATTGCAGTTGGAAATGAAATCAGCCCACTAGCATGCACGGCTGGGTGCCCAGACTTTGTTCTCCCTGCCATCCGAAACATCTTCAACTCAATTTCTGCAGCTGGGCTAGGAAACCAGATCAAAGTTTCCACTGCAGTTGAAACTGGACTAGTTGGAAATAGTTTTCCTCCATCAGCTGGCACTTTCCAACCTCAAGTCCAAAAGTTTATCAATCCCATAGTTCAGTTCTTAGCTAGCAAAGGCGCCCCATTACTCGTTAACGTGTATCCATACTTTGTCTACATAGGCAATCCCGGGAGCATAGCTCTTGACTATGCTCTTTTTACTGCTTCGGGCATTACCCTACCAGATGGTGTAAAGTATCAAAATCTTTTTGATGCTATCTTGGATGCAATATACTCGGCCCTCGAAAGGGCCGGAGGGTCATCTGTCGAAATTGTTGTATCAGAGACAGGCTGGCCATCAGCTGGAGGTGGACAAGCTACATCAATTGACAATGCCAGGACTTACAACAATAACCTGATTAAGCATGTCAATGGAAGTTCTGGAACCCCAAAAAGGCCTAGAAGAGCTATTGAGACTTACATTTTTGATTTGTTTGATGAAGACCAAAAGAGTCCAGAATATGAGAAGCATTTTGGGCTCTTTCTTCCAAATAAGAAGCGAAAGTACCCAATCAGTTTCTAACTGGATTGAGGATTCAAGTGTGTAAAAGGAATAAGGATCGATAGACTTCATGTGTTGTCTTAATTTAGCAAGCATAGGTACATTATGTAAATTGCTTGGAATTAGATTAACTTAGACCATCATAACCAAATAAATACAGCCACCTAAGTTTCTCTTTTCTTTTTTTTTTTAAGGTTAGAGCTATCTTAATTTAGCAAGCAAATGAGAAAAAATTTGATTTTGGCTCGTAGTATCACCAAGCATATTTTAGTTCTGCGTGCTCCAATCAGCTTAATTAGTCTACCATATTTTCAACTAATCTTTGTATGTGACCTGCAGATTTAGCAAGACAACGAATTAGAACTTAATCAGGATTAATCGATTATCAATAGTAAAAGTAACAAATAGCATGATCATAATCAAATAATGTTTAGTTAAATATGAAGAGTGAAAATTTGAAAATATACAATGATACTGTTTGTACCATCAACAATGACAATAGCATAATGGTAATTTTCTACGGTACACTTTTATTCTATTTGTTCAAATCCTCATATAAGAAATTATCAAAGTTAATATAATGTTGTCGTTAAGAGCCAAGAAAAAAACTTAAAAAAAATTGATGGCAGCAAAATTATTAGAAAAAGTTAATCGGGGAAGCACAACATCTTTAGCCAAGTCAGACGGATAATGGTCACAAGAAGTGTTCAACTTCTGGATGGTAATGAGAATGTTATCGTTTTCAACTAAACAAATGTTATCAAAGTCTGCAAAACTGCCATACTCCACAACCTTCCTAGACTTGTGTTTTCCACAAAACATAATTCATTAATTCTTGAAATAATGAATTAATTATGACTTTTCACACTATCAAAAAGTGTGAAGGCTTACATAGTTTCTGTCGATATCTATGTTTAACTGCTACTTTCGTATAGAATATTCGCATCCCATATTGACATTTCAATTGCAGGAAGCCTGGAATTTATAGAATGAATTGCGCCTGTCACGGATGCAATTTTCTTGTGTTATACATCAAATAGTTCTTCTAGGAAAATCTCATCTGGATTACATGTCTTCTTCTTGATAACTACTGTTTGACGAGTCGACAAAACAGCAATTTTCAAGTTGGAAGTTTATGAAATGCACCCAACTAGTTCCGGTCTAGATGAAATGCTTTCATTTTACATACGTCTCTCAGCAACAGACACTATGAAACAAGTTTAGAATTGGTCCCAATCGATCTAATAAATCTCTCTTTTCCTCTCCCTGTGGATAAAGAAGAGACGAAGACTTTGACTAGGAATCAATGAGTGTGTTTGGGTAGAGTATTATTTGAAATAATTTTAGTAGCACTTTTTGTGATGTGACGTATGTGAGATAAAAGGATGGTTGAGACTATAAAAAAAAAAGTGGATTAGAGAATGTGTTTATGATGCAAGCAAAATATTATTTGGAAAAATTTGCTATCCAAAATGTTGTCAAAGCCAAACAAATGAGAATATGGTATATTAAAATTTAATAAGAAAATTTCTGTCTTCCATTAAAACTTCCTTGCCAGTTAGGTCCAATGTGGATATGGTCCATACAATGAGAGTGAAGTTTACCTAACTAATTTAGAGATAACTAAACCAACTTTTGGGTTTGACTGATTCTAGTCTTTCATCAAAGCCAAGCCATGACTAGATGGTTTTGTTCACAACTCATTCTCTGTTTTCATATTCTGTAATCTTACTGCAAACATTCTTCCAGAGATGGCACCTAATTTTGTACTTAGTCAGAAAAAGAGGTTATTTATCTACTATTGACATGTAATAATATTTCAATGATCAATCCACCTTATTCTTTACTTGAGCAGTAAATGTTCTTGCTCCTCTTAGCCAATCTGGTTAATATTCCTCCACTAAACAATAATTGCAGAAATAACCATCTATTGGGTTGGTAGCCACCACAAAGACCTTAAGTGTTTTTGTGGGGTGGAAAGTCAAAAGTTTAGAACCTTGTCTCCCATCCAAATGCTATTTAACATATGACTTCTTCTAAATCCAGCAGCTGCTTAATGCACCCGTCTGGTTTGATGGTAATTCAGTTTCAATTGGTCCCTAGGATCTAGTTGAACCTGTCTCTCTTCACTCCTAGCTGATGTATGACCCCAAAAAAAAAAAAAAAAACCATTAATTGCAGAAATGAAAACTAAAAGTTGCACATGAAAAAGTCTCGAGCTATATAGTTTAATTCCTTTCTAGTAAGGACCCAGGAACTGGAAGCTGTTATACGGTGGCAACCACGTTGCAGGCCCTCTAACCAAAAGTACTACCATGTAACAAGTCATACCCTTTGCACACCAAGTCTTGGAAACCAAAATAGGAAGAAACTACATGTAATTGGACGTGCAGAGTTTCTTGTGAAGGAGTACTTCTGTTTAGCATATGCTGCTGCAACTATGGTCTAAGACCATATTTCCAGTAAAATAAGCTGATTTTCCAACTGCATTAAAACATTAGGGCGGCATATAAGATTATTATTGATTGATTGAGGAAGTCATTCTCATCAAGAACATAGAAAAATGTTTGAAAATTCAAATTTTAACACATGGGCAGGCGAATGACGTGCTCTAGAAATTAGCCACCTTGCAACAGCGATGTTTCCACAGAGTGATTGACCTGAAGTGCAGTAGACTTGTCAAGTCATCAAGATTTTAGATCCTAACTTTTACTTTTCTATGCATCTTCCTTCATTTCCTCTCAATAAAAGGGGTGCTTAATTTGCAGTTCATCAAGTAGTATTAAGTAGTACTGGAATATTGCTCGTTTCATCATCCATGGCTGGTGCGGAACAACAATTCAAGGCCGCTATGTTTGTTATTGGGCTGCTGCTACTTGCAACACTTGATTATACAGGTTTTCCTCTCTATCCTGAAGTACAAAGCAATGTAGCGTCTAAAATCTAAAATCTTAATATGCAGAATGTTTGCAGAATTATAGATCAAAAGTTTTGTAAACGGCATATGAACGTCTAAAACCACACCCGGCAACATTATCGATTACTATGGCTGCTAAGCCATACTTTAATCAGATATTAAATGGCTTTTTTTTTTTTTTTTTTTTTTTTTTTTTTTTTTTCGCTTTTGATTTCACTTGTTTCTCCACTGGCTAAGGGAAGTTGTTGTTTTGTTTCTTTCATCTTCTTTCTGGCCTAACAAAAAAGAGGGAGGAGGGGAAACAAATGGTCAAATATGGTAAGGTCAAAAGAGATCCAAAGTGGTAAGGTCCTTGCTCACCAACTAGTAATCTATGAAGTGGAAGGTATGTTTCCAGAAAGACAGCAAAGGGTCAGCTCTTCTGAAATATTTGCAAATTCACTCAGTCCAAAATCAGAAGATTAAGAGAAAAATGTTTGCATGATTTATAAACATGCCCAAGGCAGGGGAGTAACGATTCGCATTCTTTAAGAGTTAGAGAATTAAAAACAAGAAACAGGGAATAGAAGCTAAATGGAAAACAAAATCAGGCAGTACGAACATGAAGAAATATGTTTATACAAATTGGTAGCGAGTATTTTTGGCTAATAAACTTGACAAGGGATCAATCGAGGACCCCTTCAATCTAATAATAAATTCTGGATCCAGGATTGATCTACATCAACGACAAAATTCCAAGCTATGATTACCTGTCTATAAATGATCAAGAATGATGATACTCTAAGAAGAATAAGACAAAATAATGAATGATCACCCCTGATGATCAAGACGATGAAGTTTACCAAGATGCAGCAGAGTCCTCTGGCGGCAGTGGGTGAAACAGGAAAGCAGCTGACTGAGAAAGGAGAGAGTGAAAACTTGGCAAAAGGGCTGTATTTATTTCGAATCCCAGTCCAGACAGGTTTCTGGGCAGTTTGGGTCTTAAATTGTTTGCTGCCCAATTAAAGCGGCCCATCTTCTTTGTCTTTAATAGTAACAAGAAAACCAAAAATGTAAAGGAATTTGGCGCTCTATTTCTTTAATCTCAAATTAAAATCATTCTGCTAAAATCCTAGCTACTTTTTTTTTCTTTTTTTTTTTTTGGTTTCTTGGTCGAGCTTTCTTTTGAATTGTCTTTTTCTTTTTTGGGTTTTTATAGTATTTTACTTCAAGGAAAATCTCTAGTTCTTGTTAGTTGTTTGTGTGGTTTGGCAGCCTTGTAGACTTTGAGATGAATATTATGATTTTTACTTATCTCTTTAGAAAGTGAAAATCATTGGTTAAAAGTTTATTAAGGACTAGAAAATTTGGATGATTTTATTGGCTATATCAATTCAAAATAGATAGTGCAACTGTGAAAAAAAGAGTTTCAATCATCAAACGGGCCTGGCCTTGTCTAAATTCGTGCTTTCTCCGGTTGGTTCGCATGAGCAACCAATGTTAACCCTTTTTTCCGCAGGTTCTTGGCTATGTTTTTAGAACCGGACCGGGTATCGACTCGGCCGAGGTCAGGGGTCAGGGGTCAATGGGTTCGACCAGGGGTCGATAGGGGTCGAACCGGATGACGTCATAAATAAAAATTATTTAAAAATTAAAATATTATATATAAAATATCTAATAATATGTTAATATTAATAAAGGTATATTCATATATATTTGATGTTTCAAATATATTTAACAAGAAAATACAAAGAAATTAGAACAATCAAGTAGCAATTTATGTTATTTAATAAATATTAACAAGTTTAGAATTAAAATTATGAATTTAATTGAAAAATAACATCAAATTTAAGGACAATATTTATAAAGTATGAAATATTTGAGGTATATTAATAAGTTTTAACAATTTAGGGGGCCAAAACATAATATTAAAAAGATTGAGTTTTTAAAAAAAATGCCCATTGAACCGGAAAAACTGATTTTTTTCCGGTCAAATCCGGTTTTTGACCGGCTTTGACCGGGCTTTAAATTTCCGGTTTTTTACCATGACTCGGACCGGACACTTGGCCGGTCGAACCGAGAACCGGCCAAGTGTCCGGTCCGAGTTTCAAAACAGAGGTTCTTGGCAGCCTAAAGCACTTTCATGAGAGAAAAGATTCTGTGAAGTAGTTGGTTCAGTGGATTGGGAAAGAATATTAGGTGCGAATAAGTTTGTTTAACTTTATAACGTGTTGGATTGGGAATGGCTCTGCTGGTGAAGATCCATGAAATGAATATAGACTCATGGCATAGATGGGGTTTATTCATAGGACCTTAGCTGCTATTGGACTGTGAACGTAGATGGGGTTCGTGATGTGGCTAAATATAACGACTATGTGATCATTTTCCCCAAAAAAAAGCTACATAATTCATCTTCCATAACATGATAGCCCAAAGGATTGAAGTCTGAAATGGCTAAGTAATTGCAAGAGGCAATGATAGGAAGATTCTGCAGGTAGCAGTGCATTTGCACCAGATCTAGTTGCTGGGTTGAGATCATGGTTCAAAGACTCCGCTGAGTCATCACCGAAGCAGGGTTCTCCGTTCTGATATTGGGACGAGATAACTCCAAGATAATGGATTATTAAGAACTCGACCGAGTCTCAAGACGAATAGAAATGGCTGAATCGCTCCTAATCAACTTGAATTTTTATTATTTTTGCTTATATTTTATTATTTTTATTTATCATATTTTTTATATTATTCATAATTCTTAGAATATTAAATTATTTAAAATTTGCTTATTGCGGAGATCGTGACTGATATGTCGAAATCGATGTGCAACGGTTCGAGCAGCGACCGCGATTTTGAACCATGTTTGAGATAGTTTCACTCATTATCAAAAAGGTACCGAAATATCTGAAACCCATCGAGATTGGTGGAATTTTGGGCAGCTGGGATAAAAGCAATGACAGATAAAATATGCTTAAGGTGCAAGACTTGAAGATTTCATGTTTCTGAGCAACATGGTGGTTATGCGTGGAGGAATGGGATTGTCCATGGCCCCAAGGATTGATCAACTCAGCCGGTCTGGTACTTGAACTTTTCTTGGCCTGGAAGCTATCTTGCTTCCGGCAGAGTTGGCAGAGATGAAATATGGAGAAGCCTGTTTCTTGAAATGTTGAGGACTGATGCTACATTATAAGTCAGTGAACGTGCATGGGTGTATGGGACTGTTAATGGAAATGGAGTTTGCTTGCATATTTTCAGGAAATATATTTCCCTGAAATTTTCAACATTAATAAGATGGGGACAATTGAAGTACCACTTGATATCAACATAGGTTTTAATGTCTTTATGATTATGGAGACTAAGAAAATTTCAAACTTCTGCCCTTTTTTTTTTTTTGGTAATTGGCAGCATTATGGGTTTGAGAGAAGATAGGTAGGCTTTTATTTTCCACCAAACAGTAATATATTTTTGTTGTAAATCAAACTATGGTGGTGATGAAAAACTTCAATCTCTTGTTGGAGTTTGGCACGCCATATCAAGGGCAGGACCATGCAAGGAGGCCAGCAAGCAAAGGTTGTGTTTTCTTGAGGCAGCTAGTCCCCCATTCTCGCTCATGTCTAAATCATTGGAGTTGAATCCATCCGGCAGTTTCCAGTCAAAATGGTAAAGCAAAAGAGCTAATGGAAGCTCAATATTGGCTAAACCAAATGAGATTCCTGGGCAAATCCTCCTTCCTGCACCAAACGGGAGATACTCGAAATGAGTTCCTGCAAAATCAACAAACTTGTTTTCAAATCTCTCAGGTCTAAAACTCTCTGGATCATCCCAATACTCAGGGTCCCTTCCCAGTGCCCAAGCATTAACTAAGACTCTTGTTTTGACTGGGATGAGGTATCCATCTATTTCACATTCTTCCCTACACTCTCTAGGAACTAAAATTGCTCCAGTAGGGTGCATTCTTAGAGTTTCTTTGATGACCATCTTTAGATATTTCAATTCCTGAAGATCCGTTTCTTCAGTTATCGTTGCCTTTCCCATAAAGGCTTTCCTTATTTCACTCTGAGCCTTAGCCAACGCATGTGGATTTCTGATCATCTCAGCCATAGCCCATTCCACTGTTGAGGATGCAGTTTCAGTTCCCGCTGAGAATATATCCTACATCAAACCCTATTTGTTACGAACTGCACATGCAAATTTTAATTGAAGTAAAAATAAAAAAACGTATGCATTATTACACCAGTACTTACAATCAAAACAGCTTTGATGTTATTGTTGGTAATTGGAACTTGAAGGTCATAACTAGCTTTTATTCTGAGTAGAACATCAATTAGATCTTCATCCCCGGACTCTCCCATGCCCTTATTTGTTCTCGCTAGGTTCTCAACATGCTCAGCAATTATGTTGTCGAAGATTACATCAATCTTTTGGTGCACCTTGGCGAATTTATCCATCACCCAACTAAAGGAATGAAGAATCTTGTATGACGGGAAAAGATCAGAAACACCAAAGGAACTTACTAGGGGTAGTGCTTCCTTCAGTACCTGCAAGAATGTGTCCTTGTGGTGTCTGCATGCTTTCCCAAATGCTGCTCTGAAAACCATGGAGCTCGTGTATGTGGACAGTTTTCTTGTTAAATTGATTGGGACTCCAGCTTTAGCTGCGGCGCTGATAGATGAAATGAGATGCAAAGCCTCATCTTGGCGGATTGAGCCAAACGATCGAACTTTTTCAGCACCAAGGAGTTCCATGTTGCATATTTTCCGCATTTGTCTCCAATATGCACCGTATGGGGAGCCAGCAATGTTTGTATTGTTGTAGCAAACAATCTTTGTTGCCAGAAGCTCCGACCTATCTGCAAAGGCAAGATCATGAGTTTTCATAATCTCTCTAGCTAAACGTGGAGATGACACCACGACTGAAGAAATCTCTCCCAACTGAAGGTGCATCAGAGGTCCATGTTTCTGAGCTAATTTTGCAAGGGCACGATGGGGTGCGGAACCTAACAAATGATGCATATGTCCCACTAAAGGTAGCTTCCATGGAGATGGTGGCAGCTTCTGGGCTGCTTTTGGTCTCTTGCGTCTCTTGATCAAAGCTGAGATAAAAGCTAGGAAAAGAAAACAAGCAATGAAGTTGGAGGGAAGTTCCATTATCTGGCTATGTATCGGATCAGACTCGTGTGATGCAGCTTTTCCTATGTTTTTCTCATTTTATATAGCTAAACCTGCTTAGCTACTCGAATGATCGACACTCATTTATTTTTGCATCATCAACTCGGCCTCCTGGCTGATTGCTGTAGATCGATTTCACGTTTTTCAATAAATACGGTTGGTACAAGAAGGACCACGGGCAAACGTTTCTAGCGGTTTTGTGCATTTTACACACTGCGTAACTTTGTTTGTACACGGCGTAACTTTGTTTACACAATGTGTAACTTTAGAACAAATTTTTGTGGGCCCTACACACGTTGTTAAAAACGAGGTACAAGAAGTGATTTGGACCGTATAATTTTTTTGAGCCAAATCCTGGCCGTTAATTGTTCAGGAACGGTCCTTCTAATGACCGTCCCTGCCCCGTCTCCGTACAAGAATGTGCATGGCAAAGAACTATTCGTTCCACAACGGATCTTCAATCCCACATCCTCTGCCACTCTCTGTCCCATTTTTTATATTGCTATTTCTCCTACATAAATATCACAATGGATCTTCTATCCTACACCCTGTGCCATTTTCTGTGCCACTTTTTATTGTATTGCTATTTCTCCTACATAAACATCACATTTTAGTTCTTTTTTGTTTCCTTAAAATTCAATAACTATTAATTGAGTAAAAAATAAATACAGTAGCTTCAAAAAAACAATATATAATAGAAAATTAAAAAATACAGCAGAAAATTCATAAAAAAAATCTCATTTTTTATGCATTTTGATTTTTTGAGTTTGTTAAATTTTGTGTATTACTCAATTAATAGTTATTGGATCTTAAGAAAACAAAAAAGAACTAAAATGTGATGTTTATATAGGAGAAATAGCAATATAATAAAAAGTGGAATAGAGAGTGGCACATGGTGTGGGATAGAAGATCCATTGCGCATAAATATTATGTTATAGTTTTTTTTTTGTTTCCTTAAGATCCAATAACTATTAATTGAGTAATATACAAAATTTAACAAACTCAAAAAATCACAATGCATAAAAAATGAGATTTTTTAATGAATTTTCTGCTATATTTTTTAATTTTCTATTATATATTACTTTTTTGAAACTGTTGTATTTATTTTTTACTCAATTAATAGTTATTGAATGTTAAGAAAATAAAAAAGAACTAAAATGTGATGTTTATGTAGAAGAAATAGCAAATAATAAAAAGTGGAACAGAGAATGGCACAGGGTGTGGGACAGAAGATCCGTTGCGCGTTCGTACTTAGTACACTCTCCGTTGCAATTATTTTATTGTGTTTCGAAAATTCAATTTTTTTAAAAATAATAATAGTTTAATTGTGATGTTTACTCTTCCCTTTTCAATCTTATCCGTACAAATTCAAAACTTGAATTTGAACGGTAGTATGCATATGATTAAAGGGAAGGACTATATTGAAAGTAGAAACTAAAACGTATTTTGATTTTTTCAACGTGACAAATATTTTAAAGCATACCAAAAGAAAAAATATAATACTTTCAATGAAATAAATGGAGTACTTCATACGAAATTGGGACACGTGTAGATGTGTTGTGTTTGGCTAGTAAATAAATGTTATAATTTGTAGTATATGATCACATTATAATTTTATATTGAATATATATGAAATTGTTTATTTATTTTTATATAAATATAATAATATAATATTATTATACACCATATAACATACCAAATATGATAACTGTATCAAATCGTACAAAAACTACAACCGCATTGCCTGTACCTTTCATACCAATATGCAACTCTTGGAAAAGGGGGACGAATAACTTACTCGAAAACAAAGATGGAACACGAGTAAATATAATTTCCTCCTTGAATAGAAATTAAAGACTAGAAAAAGGAAATGAAACTAGCACCATACGGCTTCAATTAGAGAAGAGAATTAAAAAAAATCAAAATTGTCATCATATTCTTTTTTTGGAAGGAAAAAACAAAAAAGTGGGCAGAGTCTCTTCCCTGCTTTCAAGGGCAGCATAAGTACTAAAGCGCTTTACCAATCACTATCACTCAGGTCTCGATTGCTTGCCCTTGTCAACTGTAATTGTAAAGAACCATAAATAAATAATATGTGTATATGTATATAGGCATGTACACGCCCAAGGGAATTCTAATAGTAGTACACTATTCGTCTCATAAAATTTGTTATTTTTAGAAGAATGTGCAATTTATGTATGGTAATGTTAGTGGGAAAGAGAATTTTTACTTTCCTCTTATGTTTTTAGTGTCGATTATTTTTTATTTGATGTATTGATAATTATGGAAAATAAGTGGCAGATCACATGAAGGGTAAAGATAAAAATTTATGAAAAATGTGAGTTGATTTTTCTAAAATGACAATTAATTTGGGTCAAGAAAAATTAACAAACATGGCAAAATTTATGGGTCCGGGGGAGTGTTAGTTGTTAAGTCCTTTTTTAACTATACAACTTTAGTGTTTGGTCTTTTTTGTCCCTTTGGTCTAGGGATGGCAATGGGGCGGGGGACACCTCCCCCAACCCCCGCCCCGTTGCATTTTAATTCCCCCCGTCCCCGCCCTGCTTCCCCCGCCCCGTCCCGCCCTGCTTCCCCCACGGGTGTTAAAAAATTTTATTATATAACTTAATTATAATTAAATTTGAGCAAATAATCAAGTACTAAAATATCAACGCATCACCAAATTATTATTCATTGTAATTTCACAATTGAAACTCATAAAAATAATAAAACAAAGATTATTTGAATACAATCTAATATAATAATAACAAATATAACTAAAATAATCAAGTTTTCACTTTTGATACAACTACAATTACTAAATTATTATTGTGTTTTTTTAGAAAAAGTGTTATTGTATTAAGTGTAGTTAGGAATTTAATATAAATATATTAATAAATTTAGTATAAACAATTAATAATTTTTATTAATAGACATGTATAATTAGTAATATAATTGATAATATCATTATATATATAATTATGTACATATATATATTTCAAACGGGTGGCGAGGCAGGGGAGTATAACCCCGCCCCCCACCCCGTTTCTAAACGGGGGTAAAAAATTCCCCCCGCCCCCGCCCCATCCCCCGCCCCAATGACCCCCCGCGCGGTGTCCGTCCCCGTTGCCATCCCTACTTTGGTCTGGTTACAGACTCAAATAAAGCTTACTTGTTATAGCTATTGCAACTTTATGAGTGACATAAATAGAAAGTCTACAACACTAGCTTTCAAGTCTTTTCCCATTTAAGTTATTTTTTTTTCGACACTCGATATTTGTCTATTTTACATTTATCCCTACTCCTACTCTATCCTAGTTTAGGGGGGGACCCAACTGGATTTATGGAGGGACTGACGGGAACTGAACCACATCGTATCAGACAGGTGCACTACACATCCGTTTGAATTTGGAGAGTCGCACCTATGGCATTTAGTGGGATCCACCAAGCCTTAAAGGCTTGACGGTGGCCAACTCCTGTGTTGGGAGTTGGTTCTTTTCCTATTAAGTATCTACTGTTTTCGGCCTTTTTGTTTTTAGGGGAAGGAGTCTCAACTAACCTTACTAGTTAGGGTTAATTCCACTTAGACCCCTCAAACTATTCCCTGAATCCCACTTAACTCCCTAAACTTCAAAATGGGACACTTAAGTCCCTAAACAAAAAATACCGTCTCACTTAAGGAAATATTTTGACAGAATCTGAGGTGTCGTCAGTTTTCCTAGAGCGTGCAAACACGCTCTGTTAACCGAGACAAGTGACTGAAAAAGGCGAGGACATGAAGGTAAATTCACCTGTAAATACTAGTAGATTGAATGAAGAAACCATTTGCGTTGCTACATCCGTCTGAAAGGGGACGAACAGAACGGGAAGGATAGGAATAGGAAAAGCAAAAACAAAAAACAAAAATCTAGCATTGATCGGGATTCATGGCTGGTGATATGGGAAGGAAGACAGGGCATCGAAAGGCATCTGCAGTGAAGGCAAAAAAAGGGAATGTGAAGATGGAAACTGGTAAGAACCTTCTAAATTTCAATTTAATATTATTAGGTGGTTTGCAATTGCAATATGTTGATGGGTCGGGATTTGTATTGAGATAGATAAATGATAAATAGACTGATGAAGTTAGGGATTAGTGAAAACTTAGGGTTTGTGAAAATATTTAAATATGTAATGTACTTACTTGAAAATTTTTTATTTAAAAAATGATCTGGAAATTTGTGATGTTGGAACCCCAATGCTCATTCGTTGGAATCCTAATGCTCATCCATTGAAGACATTAGGGTACTGATCGTACAACTGGAGTATTTTTAAATTAATTTTTCTGATTAAAAAATTCTTGCTTTTAATAATAGATGGTGGTAATGGAGCAAATTTCGGTCAACCATTCACTTTGGAAATACACCATCAAGGTGAATTCACAGATCCTCCCAATATACAATACTTAGGAGGGCAGGTGGATTATATAGACGGCTGCAACCCAGACGAGTGGT